ACACACACACACACACACACACACACACACACACACACTGATAGGTTTGTGTGTTTGCGTCAGGCTTTTTTGGGTCAGATCAGTCCCACAGAGCAGCGAGGTGTGAACTCTTGGAGAACAGGCAGTGCTTTTATTTGCAGTGATAAATTAGTCCAATAGTCAATGCAAATGTGCAATCAATCAATCAATTTATTTATAAGCACATTTAAAAACAACACAGATTGATTAAAGTGCTGCATGCAGTAAAAAGTAGAACAAACACACAGAGAATGAAACTCAGTCACAATTCAAAGCTAAAGAGTAAAAATGTGTTTCCGACGTGTTTCAAAAATGTCGAGTGTTGGAGAGACGATGACCAGGCTGTTCCAGGTTTGTGCGCAGCAATCACAAAGGCCCGCTCTCCTCTGCGTTTGTCCTGTGGTGCTACGACGTCCTGCGATGTTCCCAGCAATGACCCGCGCTCGTGAAATCCTACAGCAGGCAAGCAGTCCGTCTGTCTGCTCTCACGTCACAACTATCGGGCTTGGCGAAATATTCTAGCGCTGACCGTCACCTGACTCCGCTGTTAAATAGCTCTGATGATTGCAAACAGCTGGAAACAGCTTCTGGGTCAGATGCCCTTCAGCACCTGACTTCCGGAGCAACTTCCATAAACAACCCCAGAAATGGAGAGGGAGAAAAAACAGGAAAGAAAAAACCCGCAGGCAGGTCGGGGAGCGTCCGATCGCGTCACGTCTTTGCTTTGGCTTCTATTATTTTCTGTTCATCCATTTCTTCCTTCTGTCTTTCCTTTGCTCCCTCATCCAGCTTCCGTGTGCTGTTCGGTCGTTCGTTTCCTTCGATGCTTTGATCCGTTCTCACTGTGACTTTATTTGCTCTTCTTTCCTCCTGATTGTTCTCACAGACTCGTGTTTGTGCTCTGCCTCTGTCGTCATGCTCAGCCGCAGTAATGCCCCATCGACGCACTTCTCCTTCTTCTTCACGCCGTTTGCGTCGAACGCACTCTGAAGCGCGGCCGTGAACATTTCGAGCTCCGCTTCCGAACAAACTCTGAGTGATACTGACGATCATCATCAGCTGTGTCATTAAAGCAGCACTTCAGTGTCAGGAAGGAAGTCTGGATTATCCGAGGAATTTCATCCGAGGCCACAGCGGCGATTCTTGATTGTTCGGCTGCGCATCCTCTCTGCAGAGGCCCAGGATGTGGAATGGGCGTGTAGGTCGCAGCTTTATGTTAAACATCCTTTCTTATTTTCTCTCTTTAACCTAAAGCAGTGATTAGGTCGTCCTGTCGAGTCTGTCGGCTGCCTCTCCAGAGAGGCCGAGGCACTCCGCCTGCACCGTCAGGCAGCCGCTAGTTTTCGTGTCTCTCTCAGCCTATCAGAACCTGGACGTATCTCCAGCTGACGGAGAGTCTGAGATCCTCTCCGAACGACAACGAGGTAAACGGTGACCGGTTCGGCCTGGAGGGAAGACTTGAGCTTGTTGTATTTCAGAATGGAATTTCAAAATAAGAGTGAGGAGATCGTTTAATTAACGCGATCGCTGGAGGTGTGATCTCTCTCTGATGGATTAAAACTAAAGATAGACCCACACCTGTGCAGCCCAGCACTACCTGTGACAGGGGGAGGGGCTAAAATAGCTCGCCTCAGAGGCGGTTTAACTGGTTGAAGCTGAAAACCATGTGTTTCACGCAAACGCTTTTTTCTATCTAACATTCACACGTAGTAGCGCAGACTGGGGATCAAACCTCCAACCTCACGATCAGTAGGTGACTTGCTCCACCCCTAACTCTGGTAAAGTCTCAGTGAACTCCAGCTGTAAGTCCAGCTGCCCGAGGAAGAAGAGCGTTATTCCGAGCAGACGTGAGTCCCGACGTCCGTGACGCTGACGGAAACTGTCTCACGTTTTTGTCCTGCAGGTTTGAGAAGGAGTCAGCACAGACACGGGACCAGTCCAGCGCCACCGCCATGCCTTCCAACAAATACTCTGCTGCTATCATGGAGAAGAGCAACAACATGACGGCCACAGTGAGTCTCACACACACACACACACAGTCATGGCCACTCCCCCAGCTGCTGCCTGAGCCAGCTGTGGGTTTAAAGGAGAGTGTGTATCGCTGCCAAGGCAGATGCCCGGGCAGGACCGCCAGCATGTCACATGAGTCTAATTGAGAATGCAGCTGAGACGTGTGCTCTTCCGATGCAGACACACACACAGACACACACACACGAACACACACACACAACACACACACACACACACACACACACACAACACACACACACACACACACACACAAAACAAGGAAACCAGAAATGTTTGGGAGACAGAAGGACAGAGGGAGGAAGGAGTTGAAGCGAGGAGGAAAGGATGGAGGGAGCACAGTGGCCTCTTTATAAGCTCAGCAAATGGATTCACTTCACACACACACAGACACACACACACACACACACACACAGACGCACACACACAGACGCACACTTGGCTCCTCCTGTCGTCCGTTACTTCCTGTCTTTCACTCATATATCACTCCGTCACTGATCCGCCACCATCTGCTTCTCTTCTTTCTCCACTTTCACCTCCTCCACCCGTTCGTCTCCTCTCGTCTCCGAGTGTTTGTGCAGCTTTTCTTTTCTGCTCTTTGGGATTCAGGGAAAGTCGGGCAGCTTTGATCCGTAACACTTCCTGCTCAGGGAATAATTTCAGGGTTTCTTTACCGCGTTTTGTTTTGGGAGTTCGGCGGTGATGTGAGTCAGCATCTTTTGATTTGTTGCATCGACGCTGGCTGTCAGCTTCAGCACCGTCCTGTGTGCGTAGGGGAGAAAGGCTTTTGGGTTAGGATGCACTCCTTCGCTCACCCTGCACAGGAGGAGGTAGGAGGAGCGGGTCATGACGCCGGCAGTGTAGACGTGTTGAACACAAACGCACACACGTCCGAGCTAATCCTAAGCAGGAAATACGAGGCCTCAGTTTTTGCCGTACTTGTGGCATGGGGCGGGTCTTCGCTGCTTTCCAGCCCCCCCGGTGAAAACGCTCCACCCGGTGTTTCTAATCATTCTGGCCGTCACTAAGACGATTTGACAGCATCATCGGAGCGCCGCGGGGCAGTCTGCTTCATGCCAAGGAATGTGCGTGACGTAGCCTGTGAGGCGTCGCGGGGTCTCAGTAAACACAAGCTCGATCTTTCAAAGAAGCGTCGGTGACCACAGCAGCGGGCCATAAAAGGAAGTGAAGCGTTGCTTTGTACTTCCTGTTGAGGCACAGGGCTGACGGATATCCAGGGAAGCAGGTTTGGGAGGACGGTGAGGATGATGATGGCGTGTGTGCTGACCTGGCCGACGCCGAGCCGTGTTTTGGTTCTGGTGTGAAACTAAACGAGGCAGAATGAGCGATTTAACGAAGAGCGTCAGTCACCTGGAGTTCAGTAGCTGAGAGCGGAGAGGAAGGCTCTGTGGTCCTTTGACCTGGATCATGCTGTTGGTGACAGTGTCTGACTTCACCTGGGCCTCATGTTGAGGAGGGGCTCAGCGTAGAGCCGCTGCTCAT